TATACTGGGAGGGGGGTGTCGGCCAGTTTGGTTTCTTATTTAAAATAACACCGGGCTGATGTGGGAATCCCTGGGGTCCCCTTTGTGGGGGTGTGAGTGTGCAAAATACCCCCCCACCCCCCCAAAATCCTCACCTCCCACTTCCTGGGGGCAAAAATGCTCCGGAGTGAGCGCGGATCCTGGCTCCCGGGGGGGCTTATTTGGGGTTTTGAGCCCAAACTGGGGCTCCAGTGGAGCAGGAATCCCCCCAGGAGTGACACCCCCCCTTAAAAAAAAAAAATAAAACCAGCACGAAGCGGTTGAGCAACGTGACGCAGAGCGAATATTCCGGCGGCGTTCGATCTTTTCCCAAACCGCCGCGCCGGCGGAGGGGAGAGACCCCAATTTCCCTGGTGGGAATAATTATTAATTAATCATTAAGTGCTCTGCGAGCGAGGTGGGTTGACCCCGAGCAGCCAGACCTCGTTCCTCCGGCGAACCCAAGATGCCGGACGGACACGGAGCGGATGTTTACTGCGCAGCAGCAGGAGGAGGAGGAGGAGGAGGGTGGCACTGGCGCAGCCAGAGGAAGGGGATTACGGATCGTTAACCCCCGCGTATTAATTCCCGGCGTCGAGGCAGGTGGCACCGAAGGATTTTACACGGAATTCCGTGCTGGAATTGCCGTCCTGCCATCGTTGGTGGCCTCTTAGTGGGGAATTGGAGCTCTGGTTGGCATCATCGTGTCCTGAAATTTGGGATTTTCTCCTTTTTTGGGACCGCAGCATCTTCAGGGAGGTCCCCCCCCGAGCAACACTCACGTTTTGCGCTCCTGTTTTGGTTTTTTTTTTCCTCTTTTACGCGTTTTTAACAACTTCTTGTTGCCTCTTGGGTGCTGCTTCCAACCCGTGTCCCCTTTTTTCTCCCCAATCTTTTCCTTTTTTTAAATCTCACACTCAAATTCTCCATCACGAGGCACTTAACAGCAACCAAATCCCTGTGGTTTTGTGTTTTATTTAGAAAAGATCCGTTGTTTCGCTCCCGAAAGCTCTTTGTTTAGCGTTGCCAGGAGACGCTCCCGGTTTTCCTCGGAGGCTCCGATGACTTCAAACACACGGAGCCATTAATAAACCTGGAATCTGCTCGGCCCCTCCAGCTGGGTGGGGTCCCAGCACATGCTGGGGTGTCGTGGCCTCTCCCCCCGCTTCCCCAGCACCCGGCTGGGATGTGAAAGCTGATCCCAGGAGAAGCTGAAGTGGGAGAGATTTTCCCGTGGGTGGGATTTAGCGGTTCGTGGCCGCAGCTGCGCTCTTCCAGGGAGCTAAAAATTAACTCTAATTAATTTTTTTTTTCCCTCGCTGCCCTCTTTTCTTGGCTCTGCACCGCTCGAGCTGTTTTCCAGGACAGTTTTTTGGGCTGGTTGGGAGAAGTTTTGGGTTTTTTTTGGCGTGCCCAGAGGGAAAAGCTGAGGATAACGGGGCAGGGAAGGACGTGGTGTGGTCAGTTTGGGTTCATGGTGTTCTCCAGCTTCAAAAAAACGCTGACATTTGATAAAATCTGCCTGGTTTTAGCAGCAGG